TATATACACACACACACACACACTATATTGCCAAACGTTCTGGGACGCCTGCCTTTACACGCACATAAACCAAAATGGCATTCCCAGTCTTAGTCCGTAGGGTTCAATATTGACTTGGCCCACACTTTGCAGCAATAACAGCTTCAACTCTTCTGGGAAGGCTGTCCACAAGGTTTAGGAGTGTGTCCATGGGAATGTGTGACCATTCTTCCAGAAGCGCATTTATGAGGTCAGGTACTGATTTTGGACGAGAAGGCCTGGCTTGCAGTCTCCACTCTAATTCATCCCAAAGGTGTTCTATCTGGGTACTGTCAGGACTCTGTGCAGGCCAGTCAAGTTCCTCCACCCCAAACTCACTCATCCATGTCTTTATGGACCTTGCTTTGTGCACTGGTGCGCAGTCATGTTGGAACACCAAAGTGCCATTCCCAAACTGTTCCCACAAAGTTGGGAGCATGAAATTGTCCAAAATGTCTTGGTATGCTGATGCCTTAAGAGTTCCCTTCACTGGAACTAAGGGGCCAAGCCCAACCCCTGAAAAACAATCCCACACCATAATCCCCCTCCACCAAACTTTACACTTGGCACAATGCAGTCAAGCAAGTACCGTTCTCCTGGCAACCGCCAAACCCAGACACGTCCATTGGATTGCCAGACAGAGAAGCGTGATTCATCACTCCAGAGAACACGTCTCCACTTCTCTAGAGTCGGATGCTTTACACCACTGCATCTAATGCTTTGCATTGCACTTGGTGATGTAAGGCTTGGATTCAGCTGCTCGGCCATGGAAACCCATTCCATGAAGCTCTCTTCACACTGTAGTTGTTCCAATCTGAAGGCCACACGAAGTTTGGAGGTCTGTAGCTATTGACTCTGCAGACAGTTGGCGACTTCTGTGCACTGTGCGCTTCAGCATGCGCTGACCCCGCTCTGTCATTTTACATGGCCTACCACTTCGTGGCTGAGTTGCTGTTGTTCCCAGTTGCTTCTACTTTGTTATAATACCACTAACACTTGACTGTGGAATATTTAGTAGCAAGAAAATTTCACGGAACACCTGAATTCAATGATTTGGAGGGGCGCCCCAATACTTTTGGCAATATAGTGTATATTACTGTATATATGTACACAGACATATATACATATATGCACAATGAGCAAAAAAGTGCAGCCACAATCTACATATCTGTGGTTGCGTTTATGAGTAGTACAGATTGGTAACTGTATGAAGAGGCTGATTGGTACTATGTGTAGGTTTCATTTAATGATTCTGTACACCCCACTTCAGAATCCATATCCAATTGAATACGGTATTCTAGTTTAAGCATTGTGGTAAAAAAAAATTACCTAGCTTTAATAAATTTACTTTCATGCGAAAGGGAATTTAATCAGATGAATAAATAGACACTCCTAGTGCAAACATAATCATGGGAGCAATTACCTTGGACAGTTAGAATTTTATGGTTAGCATTTCCCTTTTTAGTAATTTTAGGTATTATTTAAGAAGTATTTTAAAATAAATCTAAATATTGATATATTGGGTTGATTTACTAAAGGTATAAAGCCAAGTAGCTTAGCAAAGTGAATAATCACTGAGCTTATTAAAATAGTGGGGCTGTGTTACTTCAATCAACCAATCATGTGCTAGCAAACAACTTGTATTTTTTTTCCCTCTTACTCCTCTAGCACAGTGGTTCTCAACTTTTCTAGGGCCAGGACCCTTTGGTAACATTTGCCAAGTTGTGGTGACCCCAACGGTAAAATTTAGGCTGGTTCACACCTAGGCGTTCCTAATAGGCGTGTTTTATGCACGTTTTTAAAGCACGTTTTTAGCACGTTTTTTAGTTCAATTAAACGAGTGTTCGACGCTCGTTTTTTAACCTCCCGGCGGTATGATTTTTTCAAAAATCGGAGTATCCCCTAATTAAGGAAATCCCTTTCTCGGAGCTGGTTTAGTAAACAGGTATAACATGTAAATTTAATCAAAAAATTCATTTAATTGTAAAGAAACGAATATAAACAAAACAATACATCCATAACAAAACATTAAAATCAATTAAAAAACTTCCCTTGAACAAACAGTAGTTAATATTGACACAAAGGATCTACAAGCCAGCTGGTGTAGCAAAGAACAGCGTGTGACGCCCCTCTGAGGAAGTCCCCTTGTGGGAGGAAACGCGTCAGGGTTACGCGTGTCTACCACTTCCCTGGACACTCGAAATTACTTATCCCACACGCCAGTCCTGGTAGATGTATATCCCGGCTGGTCTACAAAGTGTGGAGACGGAGTACAGCCGGTTCTATTTGGTGCGAGCCCAGCTGACTTGGAACTCTCCAACAGAGTTTGATTGAATAGATCTGATGACCGTTTGTGGGAACTGCACTTTCTGCGGATCTGTATTACTCCTTATAGCAATGCAAGTGTCATTAATGCTAGTCTTTTATTCTAAACTGCAGTAATTATAATTTTTTTAAAGTATTTAATAATTTTAATAATGTTTACAAATTGAAATTGCCTTAAATCTTAAGAATAGTTATATGGTTGCTTCTTAGTCCAAAAAACTGCATCAAGTGATTCTGTCTATTGCTCAGATATATATATTAGTTGCCTGGCTCCCTCTAGAGTTCATTAAGAGGAAACAGAACTGTACTTTGTTCTGCAGCAAAAGGTATAAATAGAAAAAAGTGACCTTAGCATTAGAGTTGGAATTTTGAATGAACAAAATCAATTTTGGAGCGTTCGTTTGACTTTCTAATCATTGATGAGGTCAAATCCATGAACGATTTCAACCGCTGTGACAAAAAAAAGGAGCATGTTGGAATTTATTTTCTCCATCAAAAAGAAATTCTAATAGTAAACATGTTCTTCGTTCAAGAAACTCCATTAATTCCAAAATCAAATGTTAAATGAAAATCAAACCAAATTTCGAACGACAAATCGCTAAGTCTCTGATGGCATAATGGAACGTTCCGACGGGATTTTTCATAAGAACGTTTGTTCGAAAATCTACCCGTGTATACCCTACTGCAGGGCTCAAAATTTCAAGTCCTAAGCTACTAGCCAAGATCACACGCTGCAGCTTCAGAGCGGCCAGAAGGAGAGAGAGGGAGCGATAACGGGTGTAATCAGAGCCGCCTTTCTGAGTGGAGCTGAAGCTGCCGGGACGAAAGAGAGTGAGCGGTAGTATTCCATCCCTAGTCCCGCCGGCAAGGCACCATTGCTGACATTCCACTCGCCCCCCCGCAATTTTCACTCGCCACTTGCGAGGGGGCGAGTGGAAATTTTGAGGCCTGCCCTACTGTGTTAATTTGCCTTGTTTTGGTCAATGTTTTCTTAGTCAAGTTGCAATATTGGAATAAACATCCGGATAGTTTCCCTTTGATGTCCTACTGAATAGAAAGGCTGGAACCTTAGTGAACTCCCAGAAATTCTAATTTTTTTTCCTAGTTAGCTATTTGCTGCACCATCATGACTAGAGGTGAGCATTGTTTGTAAACCTGCTCTCTCATTGGAGCCTTGCTTTCTCTCTTTAACCCTGGATGGGATTTGTTTTTTTACTTTCAAAGAATTTAACTTTTAAATAACAAACAAAGAGTTTACAGAGTAACATACGTGCACAGTTAACATACATAGGTTGAATCAGAGCTCAAAATAGGAGTATGTTGGAAAGAAAACCATTAAAAACAGACCAGTCAAAAACAGAGGGATAAAAAAAAACAGCAAAAGAAAAACATCTGAACATATGAACAATTGAGATATGTCAAGTAGTAGGGGATTAAGACCCCAAAATTACCTCTTATCATCATTAAGTATGTATATTGTCAAAACAAGTTCGAATGAAAAAATTATAGCAAAAAAACTGCTTAAAATATACAGCAACAGGGGAAAGTAGAGGAAGAAGAAAGTAAGTAGGAGAGAGAAGAAAAAGGATAGAAAGGGTAGAAAGGGAAAAAAGGAAGAAAGAAAAGCTCTGGAAGATACACCCCTATATTCTAGACAAGTGAAAACAATATTAAGGCTTATACCTTGGTATTTCAAGATGGATTTTTTTTTTAGCAAAGAGGAAACTTGGACTAGGACAGGGAAGACTAAAGACCCTTTGCTTTCTGGGGGTGACTTTATTTAAAATAAAGTTACTGTTTAAACATTTTTTTTTTTTTTTTGCATGCTACCTTGGTGATCCCAAGGCACGCCTAAACTGTTCATGGGAGCTAGGGTAAAGCTGAATATAACACACCCTAATTTTTGCACCATCTGTTGGGGAATAATAGTATGGAAAAGACCGATCCCTATTAATACAGATGAAGCAGCTAGTTCCAGACAGGGTGGTAGTGTCTTAAGATACTGTTATTCCACAAACTGTTTACATAATTACTTAGCTACTGTGGCTGAAAAAAGTCTATAGTAAGAATTATACGTTGTAATTTAAATTTTCAAACAATATGGGAAGCAACCAGGGAGATTGTTTGGCCAGGGCCTGTATTGGCTTTCATCCACCCTGAGTACAGAGGTGCTATCATTAATTGCATACATCATTTTAATTTGTACAACCTACCTTCTGTTTCAGCACTGCACTGCCTTGGACGTTTCTGACCCCTGTGGTACTACATGACTCATCAGTGTAGTAACGGTTGTAGGATGAACCACATCACATGTGGCGGGGGACAAAAGCATTGCATTCTGGAAATGTTAAATGTCGAAGCCAGAGAAGAGGTAGGAGACAAGGACCACTGGTGATGTAAGTATATTGATTTTCCTATTCCAGGGTACTGTGGGTTAATTTTTTTTTTTTTTTTACAGACTGACCCTGAGGCTAATGGGTCTGAGTCCCATTATAGAAAGAAAAACAATTAGAAAAAGGCATCCTGATCCACTGCAAGATTAATACAGAAAAAACAAAAACATTTTGAGTATTCTCTAAAGCAGATGAAGAATACAAAGCATAGGACAATGTCAGCTACCCACAAAACTGTTACATGGATCAATGTTATAACCTTACCCCTTCCATTGGTGCCAGCAGCAAATCATACAGAGCCCGCAGAGGTGGCTTGTTGAGACAGCTTTGTTTTCTGGGCAAGGATGAGGTGTTGTCTTTCACCGGAGACATTGTGTTACTAAACAGGCTTGTCATACTTTGGCAACTTCTGAAAAGTGAACAAAAAATAACGACTAGTGAAATACATGTTTTATGCAAGTTTGTGGAAGAAGATAAATCATATCTAAAGTACAAGTAAAAGAAAAGTTATTATTATAACATTATGGCCACCATAAAGTATTATGACAATGTAGCTTTCAAATGCTTCACTCTTGGCTTGGAAAATTATCAAAAAGGTGGCATGACCATATACAATGTATGCATAGAGTCTTTCTAAATGCATCACCAGCTATTGTTTGGGCAGAAGACCTTAAGGTATCCTGTTGAAAATCATTGTCTTCATTTTTGGGATTTCCCAGAAAGTATTCTGAACTGTAGGCATTTAGAACATGCCACCCCGTCAGGTTTTTTTTCTGCCATATGGGGCTCCATTAGAGCGATTTACCCTCATTTCCTGTTCTGCTGACAACAGTTTGACCAGAAAGGAAGTGAGAGAAAATATGCAACAGGGCTACAGACAGAAATAAGAATCTGACTAGTGTTCTAGTCTTTACCTACTCTACTAATTAATTCTGTCTGTGTTGCTGTTGGAGAGTTTCCCTCACTTCCTGTCTAGACTGTTAGCAGAACAGGAAAACGGGGATATCTCTCTAATGGAGCAGGAAAAACAAATAGGGGTTCTAACCCTTCAAAATCTTAGAAGAGGATAACACTTATTTTATACTTGTTACATGCTCCCATTGACATAGCAAAGGCTCAACAATTTTCTTCAGGCAGTTTAAATTGCTTTTACTTGAGTTAGGAATTTTTGGACTTTTAAGGGTTAAAGTTTATACTTGCTTCTACTTCTTTGTAATGTTAGGAGGGGCTGTAAGGGGTGAGGTAATTCAAGGATTTCAACCCTGGCGTGTGCATTGTATATTAATGAAGTTGATGAACTTAACACAATCCTTAAATTTTAGTCCTAAGTCATTCTATAAGGACAGATCACTGTGAAAGTGCTGAGACAACCTTAATTCAGCCATGTTGCCTGCTGCAACAAAACGGAAAGATTTATTTTTTTAAATAGTTTTTGGTATGCTGTGTGAATGGGAACACATAACAAACATATAGAGGGGGGGTTTCTCAAATTTGACTGCAAAAGTAGAAATACAATTCAAGCCAAGATGTAAAGCCTTCATTGTAAGCCAGGGTGTACAACACTCTTTGTTTTTCCTTGCTTCAGTCAATACTTACATAACATTTTTTTTCTAATGCCACTATACAGATGACAAAAGGATATTTGCCAGAGCATAATATGAATATGTTATAAAATAATCACTTTTTTAATATATTTCTGAAAAGGACCTTATAATATGCTCTAATTTTAATTTCCTTCAATGTAACCCTGAATATTTTTATTGGAGGTTTCAATTATGAACGTTATAAGAATCTTATCTGAATTCACCTCCTAGCTAGACAGTAAATTTCACAGGAAGACTGCTGTAATGTAGGTTGCTATGACAATCTGAAGAGGACAGGACAGAAACGCAGTAAAATGAAGAATAATACATGCGTGTTTTCCCATCTTTGCACTTTGAAAAGTTCATTATTGAAATACTGCCCGCAATATTAAGCCATTACTTGTACAGATGTAAGGTACAAAGTCAAAGTTAATTATGACCGAACATTTCACATAATAGTTAATGGCAATCTGGTTACTGATAATATTTTGTAAGGAACAAATAAGTACTTAGGATGTGTAACGTTTAGCATGTAAGTCTCGTGCATTTTCTTTTAGTCTGCTACCTTATATATTCCATCTGCACCCCACCAGACTCCTCAATATTGCCTTTTTATGATGATTCCATAAAATTATACATATATCCAAATGATTCATAAAATGATCCAAATGCAGCAATGGCCTTAGCAAAAAACAAGCTTTTGTGTGCATGACCACTGTGCATTGCCACAGTGATCACAGGGACATCACTGTATAAGTGGTCTATGGAAACATACTATTGTAATCCTGCTTTGCTCTCAGACAATGTTTGTTCTGTTCATACAAAAGCCTTCCGTGATCCACCAGCACCAGAGAGCTCACAGCTGATGCTCCACATGATAAACCAAAACATCCCATTAGGTGGCAGCACTTTAACAGTCAGGGAAATGCACTGTTGTTCTAAAGAAATAAGAACAAAAAAATGGCACCTCCCCCAGTGCAGAGAAACTTTATTGTTATACAAACAAACAAATGGTAATGGGTACTTACAAGTATACCAATGGATTCACACTTGTCATGCATCAAGAGCAGGCCGAAGTATAAACTGTCAGCTAAGCAGACACAAAAAAATTCCTCCTGCCATCACACCAGTGTTAATCTTTGAGGCTGAATGTGTTTTGGAGGCCCCCGCCCACTTCTTCAGAGCCATACTACCACTAGTGTGTCTAGCCTAGATGAGGGATCACACAGCCAATCCCAGAAAAGCTTCCCTGTAGTGATGTAATGTAATATTTGTTCTGTATGTAACAACAGTACTCTTGACCCATTGGCTAAACAGAAAACACAGGCATAGCTCTGATCCCTATTACCAGAGCCTGGTCCTTGCTGTAGATGCACAGTTACGTATGTCTGTAAACGTCCCTGTATGACAGTCTAAACAGGTACCAAACCCAGTTGCTATGTGATGCACAAGCTCCATAAAGTAAATCAACATTTTATTTAACCCCTCTCTCCGGACTGAGCCAAATCCTCCTACATTCCTCACATGCTCCCCTCACGGACACTGTAGCTCACAGTGGGAGGGTTTCATCAGCAAAGGCAGTGCTGTTAATCCAGAAAGTAGTGGGCAGGACTGGGTGTGGCCGGGTGCTGATTGATAATCTACAATGCTGATAGCCATTGTGCTGATAGCTGATTTTTTTTATCCCACTGTAGTACAAGCAGGCACAGTCTACATGAGCGTGGTTCTAAATTCAGAAACAGAGCAGCATTGTTGCCACGCCATCACTGGAAGCTGCATTAGGTAGACTTTACTGGCAGGATTAATAGGTATTTGTGATACTTTACAGTAGGACTAAGAAAACTACAGGTTCAGATGCACTGATAACTAAATGTTGCAGCACATTTTTTTTTAATGGGAGGCCATAGTTCTACTTTAATGTGAGCAAGCACAGGGGCAAAATCTGCCAGCTGTTTCAACTCACAGTAACTTAGAGAGCAGAACAGATTCTGGTATCCACATTTCATTGTCTATCCACTATAACAAGATACTTAATCAACAGCAAATGTCATGGTTCCTGGTCTAGCCATGTATATGATTTATTTCCAAAACCGATATCCTAAGTGAAAAATGGCAAGTTGGTGAACAGTTTTAAAGAAAAACGTTTAACAAGGCATTATGGCTGGATAGCTTTCTCCATAAGTAAGAAAAAGGCCAATTCTCTCTCTTATCTCAATAAAAAGAGCTCCGGAATAAGTAATGGTTTCTTTTATCTTGAAGGGAGGTTTTATTGCTTCACTTGCCTTACTGATGCTGAGACAGCATCTTCTTTGTCTCTATAGTCAAGTATACTTTTCTGACACTGCTATTGATTTTCCCACACAAACCAGGCACCGGCTAAGTCTACTTTCCTGGTTTAAATTGTAAACAAAAATGACATGTGAGAAACAAAGAATAAAAGGGGATTTAAAGGCACATGAAGATTAAATAGATGCAAACTGTTTATGAGCCTTAAAACAATTTTTTAGAATGCTTTATAATATTTAGACTATATTATTTAGCACTTGAGCCTTTGAGCACCTAAATTTATTGTATATTCTACTTTATTACCATTGAACATTGCACAAGCACATGAGCAATGATGCTGTTGCTATCAGCGCAAAATTACATTTATCAGTATGAGGTCACCCATTGGGTTTTGGATGTTCCATGTATACACTACTGGCATTAAGGGACTTCAGAAAGCTTCACCGCTCTTAGTGGATGGGTTGCTGAAAGACTGAGAATGTGTAGCTTGGTATTCCAGCACTAAGTACCGGTCACAATGACTTTACAGCCCTTTCTTTCTAAGCTCGGTTTACAAAACATTTATAAAGGCAATTTCTATGGGGTCAAATTTATGCTTCATAGGCACAGCTAGCATCATGACATATGACATATTCAAACACATTCAATGAAGACTGCAAGTATATGTAAACCTAACAATGAACCTCTCCTATTTTTTACCTTTTTGTTTTGTAAGAGTGACCCATTCGCTATACTAAAGTTTCCCAGGCCAGCTCTCCCTCTAAATACTTACCTCTCCTGCTCTGTTCATAAGAAATTGTCAACGTCCAGTAGCATTGATCTCCTTAGTACCTTAGTACCTTACAGGGCTCACTGGTTTCTTCTACCAACCTCCACATCACTAATCCTGGGAACTCACAAGAAGGAACCAATGAGAGTAGCAAGGAGACCATGGAGATCAACACTACCCAGTGAACTTTGGGGGACAATTTCCCATGAAAAAAAAAATATTCAGTGGCATGCGAGGCAGCAGGATTGAGCATTTATAAAAAAAGTTATTAAGAAGGCAATTCAGGTTATAAACAAGATGAGATAACAGCAAACCCCTTATTTCAAAACACAATATCAAATAATTACACTATCCCTCTCAGTCTGCAGTTGCTCTTACACCTTTTAAAAGAAAATGTACATATAAAATCTCCTGGACATATCTTAACTCAAAGGATTTTACAATGGATACATATTTATTTCCTTTTAAAATATTGTAAGTGCAATACATAAATTGATTTTAAGAATAGTTGTCGGCCTGCACTATTTTCCTTGCACTTGCCACCAGAGCCTGAAAGCGTGTAAAGAAGGATTGGAGGAGGAGCCGATGTTTGGCGGTGTCCCAGGAGCTGGTCACATGGGAGCTGAGACTGCTGGATGGAACAGGTAGTAGAACACTGTGAGATCTCCCCACATAGACTTGCTTTCCTAGTGGAACTTAGTAGTATAAGGGAAGTAACATCTTAGGCTTTATACACACTGGAAGTGTCAAAGCTGCATTTCGATGTGTTTA